GAAACCCCTTCACAGGGTTTCCTGGAATTGTCGTAGCCAACTCAGCCCTCAAGGTAACAGAGTCTTGCCCTGTTCTCATTTCATACCCATAAAAACTCAACTCTTACCCAAAAGAAATTATAATTTGAGAAAGAAATTCTTTTATTTGTTTGTTTTGTTTTTGTTTTGTTTTGTTTTTTGAGCCACGGTTTCTCTGTGTAACAGTCCTGGCTGTCCTGGAACTCGCTTTGTAGACCAAGCTGGCCTCAAACTCACTGAGATCCACCTGTCTGTGCCTCCCAAGAGCTGGGATTAAAGGTGTGTGCCATCACCTCCCAGCTGAAAAAAAAAAAATTCTTATTTGGAGTTTGTTTTAGATATAGGAATGATTTTTTTTTTAAAGTAACCATGTGAATTCAGGCTTTCTCATTTACTTTTGGGTTTTGTTTGTTTGAGACAGGGTCTCAGTACCCCAGGCTGGCCTGGAATTCCTTCGGTAGTTGAGCAAGTCTTTGAATATCTTCCATCCTGGCTCCACCCTTAGAGGGCTGGGATTACAGCTGTGTACTGCCATTGCCCAGGTTGTGCGGTGCTGGGGGTGGAACCCGGGACTTGTGTTTGCTAGGAAAGCACTCTACCAGCTGGGCAAGGGCAGCTGAGCCGGGCTCCCAGTCCTCCTTACCTGCGAACTGCAGAGGACAGAGAGGTACGCAGTGTGAGGGTTCAGGAAAGGACTGAGAGCTTCCACATAGAACCTCCAAGTAGTCAACTATCTGGAAGATTCCTGAACTGTCTTTGGGGGGTTTTATGGATACTCTATTGCATATACACATTGATTACATCCTTAGACATTAGCGATCAATTTGACCTTCAGCTAGGGGCACATAAGAGATAAAAGACCGGATGGCTATATAGTTTCATGTTTTAGGGAAGGAGAGGTCCACAGATCAGGTACAAAATTTAAGGATATGCCAAGAATAGCAGGAAATCCCAATAGTTTCATGTAGTATTTTGATTTTAAAAATATTAAATGTACACTGAACAATCAAAAATTTGCATAAATATAGACTATTGCGGCTTGTTCACGACCGTGTGACAGAGGCAGCTGCTTCAGGTTACCCTGTTTCCGGGTCTGTGCTGATCATGTGTCTCCCTACATGTGAGGGCAACCAACTAGCTCACATGGCCTTGGGAAGAGGCAAGTTTGGTTGTCATTTTGTATTGGTTTTGGCTTTTTGTTTTCATTGTAGATATTTTCCTAGTATTTTCACTGGCTCAACACCATGGGAAGACAAGCCCACGCATTGTGGCACACACTTGTAGTCTACATCTGGGAAGCTGAGTCAGGGGGAGCCAGAGTTTGAGGCCAGCCTGGGCTCTACAGCAACACCCAAACTCAAAAACAACTCTTTTCATCAAGTGCATGCAGAATACACATTTTATCCCTTTGTCTTGGCTTCTAATAGGGCTCAAGTAATTTGCACCAAGCAGGTTACTGAGGTCATGGCAGACCAAGGATTGATCAGAACACCCCGTACTGAGGGCTTGGCTTCCCAGAGGGGTTCTGGAGAAACAGGATGAGTTGATTTCCCAGCTGAAGGTTTGAGAAAAGCTCTCTGTACATCTCTAAGGGTAAGGACTAGGGACAAGGAACACAAGGAGACTATAGTGCTGGAGTCCAGGAAGTGGAGAGAGCTTCCACAGCAAAGTCAGCTTACTGTTCCTGCTCCCGTGCCTGACTGTCCCCAGGACCTGACCACCGCACCTTTCTGAGCCTCGGGAAAATGAACTGCTCATCAGATTGCTCTGAGTTTGTATCTCTTCCTGAGGAAATCTATAGAAGTCACAGAAGCCAGGCTAAGCTGTTTGAACTGAAGCCGTTCTGTGCTCTGGAGCTTTGGGGTTCTCAGGAATTCATGTGCTGAAATTTTACCAGCCCCAGATGGGTTTTTAAAGTTGGATTGTTTGAGAGATTACGAGGCCCTCATGGATGCCATCTGTGCTCTTCTAAAAGTGACCTCAGGCTGGGGAGAGACCCCTTCCTCCTCCTATTATGTGAGGATGCAGCAGGAAAGGGCGGTGAGTCGAAGCATCCTCATCGGACTCCGCCTTGGTCCTGGACCCCTTAGCCTCCGGAGTCATGGGAAATCGGTTACTGTTTATAAACCACCTTGCTCCTGGAACTTCATCATGGCAGCTAAAATGGTCTGGGGGTGTGAAAGCAAGACCTTCACCTTCAGCAGACCCAATAACAGATGCTCGGGTAGAAGCCCCCTCTGCATCTCAGAGTTCCTTAGTGCACGGAGGGAAAAACACTGAATTAGGAATAACTGATGGCCACCCCAATTCTGACATCCTGCCCAGGCTCAGGAGACCACTCTGTCTGTACCATATGCTGAAAACTTGATAACGACGTGTTTACCCTTGTCAAGGAAAACCAGAGGAGTCTCCAGCCTATGAACCCAAGACTTTTGGGTGTGTCCTTGTCCTGTTTCTGAGCCCCACCCCCAGCCTGCAGAGCCCACGGAATCAGTAGACACATCAACAGGATTTAGTCAGTCTTGCTGTGGCCAGGGCAATTATACAGTGGGGTGAGGCACTCTGCCAGGATGTTAACATGAAGCAGGCACCCTGGGGAACATTGACAAATGACTGGGGGCTGTCTGGACATGGCCGGCAGCCAATGGCAGCCAGCTGGGCTCTTCTTCCTGATTCGTGTGACAGTTCCAGACTTATGAAACACTTTAGGACCGGGGCAAATGACTCTAGTGGTATTCCAAACAACAGTCTTCAGCCTCATCCAAATTATGGCTCTTCTTACTCAACTATCATGGGTCTTCAAGGACAGAACAGTCTACTCTTAAGAAACATAGATGGTGGGGGCATAGCTGGAGCTGTAAGGTTAACCTCGGTTCTAACAGCTCTAATTGGAACCCTAGGTGCATCTCTCCCTAGCTACATGATCCTGGTCCAGATTTCCAACCCATCAGAACTTCAAGCTCTGTAGCTATGCAACAGAACTGAAATGTTTGATGAAGGAAGAACTGGGATGAGGGATAACTGGGATGGGGGATGAAGGAGAACTAGGATGTGGAATGAAGGAGGAGCTGGGATGTGGGATGAAGGAGAACTGGAATGTGGGATGAAGGAGGAGTTGGGATGTGAGATGAAGGAGAACTGGGATGTGGGATGGAGTAGTAACTGGGATGTGGGATGGAGGAGTAACTGGGATGTGGGATGAAGGAAGATCTGGGATATGGGATGAAGGAGAACTGGGATGTGGGATGGAGGAGGAACTGGGATGTGGGATAAAGGAGGAGCTGGGATGTGAGATGGAGAACTGGGATGTGGAATGAAGGAGAAACTGGGATGTGGGATGAAGGAGGAACTGGGATGTGGGATGGAGGAGGACTGGGATGTGGGATGAAGGAGGACTGGGATGTGGGATGAAGGAAGAGCTATGATGTGGGATGGAGGAGGAACTGGGATGTGGGATGAAGGAGAACTTGGATGTGGGATGGAGGAGGAACTGGGATGTAGGATGGAGGAGGACTGGGATGTGGGATGGAGGAGTAAAGATTATAAGTGGGAATGTGTGGGTCGAAGGCGTGCACTAGGTGCTCCAGCAAAGACCTCTTCCTTCCTTTCTTGTTTCTGAAACACCCAGCTCTCTAAAAAAGAAAAAAATCAGTCACGTGAAGTTTTCTGTTTTAACCAACTTTGAGATTGTGTGTGTGTGTGTGTGAAGGTCTTATTTTTTCTCTTTCTGTTTTCCAAGCCACGCAAGTGAGCATTGCATCAGTGTGCTCAAGTCTGTTTTTTTTTATGCTTTATTTCTTTTTCAGATACTAGTTTGGGAATTGCATACGACGTGTTCTGGGCATATTCACTGCTCCCCCAACTCTTCCCAGATCTACCCCATCCTTAGTCATCCACCTTCGTGTCCTCTTTTCGTTCTCCAGGTCAGTAAGTTCAGTTATGCTGCCCGTGTACTCTCGGATGTGTGGCCTTTCACTAAGAGTGATCAGACTCCCGGGAGCCGCACCCTCAGAGAAAACTGACTGCTCTCCAGCAGCTACCACGTGTGTGTGTTGTGCTTATTAGTAAGTGTGTTTACATGTATGTGGGCACGTGTGTGTACAGGTGCACATGCACATGTACTTGTGGGCATGTCGGAGATTGATGACATTGTCTTTCTAAGAAGCTGCTGTCTATGTTATTTGTTGAGGCAGGCTACCTTGCAAACCCAGAGCTTAACAATGCAGGAGAGTCCAGCTAGCCAGATCGCCCCAGAGATCCTGTTCCTACTTTCTGAGTGCTGGGTTACAGGTGGCTGCCATATGTGCCTAGTTTCTACAGGGGTTCTGGGGATCTGAACTGTGGTCCTCAATCTTGCATAACAAGTGTCTATCCACTGAGTCATCTCCCTATCCCAATGTCCGGATGTTTTAAAGATGGTGATGCTTGAATAATATTGAGGTGCACAGAAACAGTGAGATTACATATTCCAAACCAAAAGCTAATTTCTCTAAAATACAAAAGGATCCTAGATGTATTGATAAATATATCCACTTTACAGGTAGAACTTACACATACGCATATCTATGCATGTATATAAACTGTGGTCCTGGGGCTGGGCCTAGGGCCTGACCATTAAGGAAATCAGGTGTGTGTCTGCGGGGTACAGCCCAGCGACAGCGCTTGGCTGGTGCCCTATACTTTGCAAAGCTTTAGATTTCTAGTGCTTCAGAACTGCCAAAAGAGATTTCTTTTTATTTTTTGTTTGCTTGTTTTGCAGAGACTAACAATCCAATAGAAAAAAAAAACACAGAGGAAAAGAGCAGAGAGTTATTGAAAACACAAATGATTTTTTTTCATGCGTTTGTTTTGTTTTAGGACAGGATCTGTCTGTGTAGCTCTGGCTAGCTTAGAATGTGCTCTGTAGACCAGGCTGGTCTCATACTCACAGAGATCCCAATTCTCCTTCCCAAGTGCTGGAATTGCGGATGTGGTGTGCCTATCAAATCTGTAAAATAATGTCCGCGATTACTCTGAATGGTGAACTAAACGGAATGCATACAAAAATGATGGCTTTAAAATAAAATAAAAGATAACTACTTCCTAACATGGAAAACTTTATTTTTACGATGTCTTCTTTTAATTTGCTACAACTCAGACTCTCACTGGGATACCACGTAGTGTTCATCAATGCCACATTCTACCTGTGCATTGGGTTTTGACGAGAGAGAGAGAGAGAGAGAGAGAGAGAGAGAGAGAGAGAGAGAGAGAGAGAGATTGTTATTAAAAATAATCAAGCAGTCAGAACTCTATAACCCAAAGGAGGATGGTTTTAGAACTTCTGCGTAGAAGGAGCTCAAAGTCCATAAAGAATCTTGAGAGTCTGTCAAGGTCTGACTTGGAGAAGATTCTCTTTAAATAGAGATCCCCTGGGCTGAGGGTATAGCTCAGTGGTACAGCACCTGGGTGTGAGTGTAGTGTCATCAACTCTACAGCTCAAGAGTCACTTAGGAGATGAGCGTCTGGGCACATCTGTGAGGGATTATCTAGGTTAGGTTTGTTGAGGGTCTCTCTGCTAATATCGAGGGCACCTTTCTGCTTCCATGGGCTAGGGTCTTGGGCTGAATAAAATGGAGTCAGCTAGCTGAGCACAGCATTCACCTGTGTTTCAGAGTTGTGGATGCAGTGTGAGCAGCCACCTCGCTGTCTTCCTATACACCCCCCACCATGCTGAGCTGTGACCCTTAGAACCGTGAGACAGAATAAATCCTTGCTTCCTTCAGTGGCTTTTGCTGGGTATTTTGTTGCGATGATGAGACAATTAACTACCACAACTAGCATTCATTAGTCTCTCTGGCTCATCCCTAACACTGAAAAAAGAAAACCCGGGATTATCTTTACTAATGCACCAAAGTTGGTGTTGATATCTGCCCTTCTGAACTGTTTTACTTTTTTGTGTTTTAAACACAGGCTAGAGTCTCCTGGGAAGAGGGGACTTTCATTGAGAAAATGCCTCCCTCATGTGGGTATTTTCTCAGTTAACAATCGATGTGGGAGGGTCCAACACTGGAGCAAGATGGTCCTGGGTTATGGAAAGGCAAGCTGAATGAGCCTTGGGAGTAAGCCAGTACATAGTGTTCCTTTATGGTCTCTGCTTCAGTTCCTGCCTCTAGGTTCCTGTCTTGAGTTCCTACCCTGACTTCCCTGGAGGATGTAGTTACCTACCAGCTGTAAGATGAGATAAGCTCTTCCTTCCCCAAGTTGTTATTGGTCAAGGTGTCTTATCATAGCAACAGAAAGCAAACTAGGGCATGTCTGAAGTGGAGTATTTTCCAGAGGTGGTCCTGCAGTGTACCTTACCCCATAAACTCTACCTGCAGTGTTACATGTTTCTCCTCTCATTAAGAGAATCTATGTTCCCACATAACCACAATGGCTGAATTGTGATTCCCTGCAACCCCTTCATATGGTGAAGTCCTAACACCCAGTGTCTCAGATTGCAACTTTGTTTGAAGATAAGGTCTTTAAGAGCATTCCATTAAAATGAGTTATACATTTAGGCCTTTATCAATAAGGTGGGTGTTTTTATAAGAAAAGGAATGTGTATACAATTAGACCTGCGCCTGTGCAGAGAGATGGCCCAGTGAGATGCAGTGATTAGGTGGCTTCAGGAGACACGACCCTACTGAGACCTTGATCTCAGACTCCCACCCTCCAGAGCTGTAAAAAAAACATTTCTGCTACTTTAACTACTCAGACTAGCATTTGGTTTTCTAGCCCCAACTGTCTCACTTAAGGGTGCCCTAACAAAACACCACAGATGGAGTGTTTTAAATGTTGACATTTATTTCTCATTTCTCTGGAGGCCGGGGAGACCAAAAATCAGTGGGTTATCCAGGGCTGTATTCTTGTGAGAGCCCTCACCTGGTCTGCAGAGAATATCTCCTGACTGTGTATGATGCAAGAATGTATGATGGGGGGGGCGTACAGAGAGGAGATGGGGTGGGAGAGAGAGAGAGGGAACCCAGAAAGGAAAGGAAAGAGGATGAAATAATGCAGAAATGAAAGAACACAGAAAGGAGAGAGAGAGAGAGAGAGAGAGAGACAGAGAGAGGGAGACACAGAGAGAGACAGAGAGAGGGAGACAGAGAGAGACACAGAGAGAGGGAGACACAGAGAGAGACAGAGAGAAGGAGACAGAGAGAGAGAGAGAGAACAATAGCCATTTGGCAGGTTTCTGTACCCCGATATTAAGTCTCCCCACTGGTGCAATAAGTCACATTGGCCAAATTAAAAGTCCAGGTTTATTGAGAAAAGCAACTCCTGGGTGATTCTAGGGAAAGCAGGAGAGAAATCACACTGATGCTCCCAAGGTGGGGGCCTTAAAAACCCTGTAGATTTGGTCTTTGAGCAGTTCCTAAGGAGAAGTCACCAATGGCAGACTTTCTAAGAAGGGTAGGGTTTGGAACTGGGGAGTGAGGTCGGAGTGAAGATTCCCAACAGCTATTTTAAGTGGACACTAGTCTTAGTATAGGAACTTCATCCTTAACTGAGCCTAATTATGACTCCAGTGCCTACTTCCAAATACCACCACATTGAGAAGCAGGTCTTCAGTGTGTAGGTTTGAAGTCCACAAACATTCAACCTGTAGCCCTTCCCTTTGACCTTTGCATCTCTGTCATGTTCTGAGATTTTCAAGGCTCGCTCATAAAAACACCAAACACTCTGTTGTTCTCTAGGGGTGGCCATCTTGAAATCTAGAGTCACAGGGAAGCCAGGTAGTCTCATAAAGACCATATAGTATGGACTCTTCTAGCTGCTGGGAGACCACCTGGTGAGCAGTTTTGCATTTTTCTCCATGACTAGGCCAACCTCAGTGATGGAGGAGGATCATCTGTCTATGTGTTACTCTCATTGGTTAATTAATAAAGAAAACTGCTTGGCCTGATAGGTCAGAATATATGTAGGCGGGGAAGACAGAACAGAATGCTGGGAGGAAGAAGGCAGTGAGGCAGACGCTATAGCTCTCCTCTCCAAGGTGGACGCAGGCTAAGATCCTTCCTAGTAAGCCACCACCTTGTGGTGCTACACACATTAATAGAAATGGGTTAATCAATATGTGAGAGCCAATAAGAGTCTGGAACTAATGGGCCAAGCAGTGTTTAAAAGAATACAATCTGTGTGTTATTATTTCGGTTGTAAAGCTAGCCGTGTGCAAGTCGGGTGGGAATGTAGCCTGCCACTCTTTCTACACCTCAGTCCTCTAGGTGCTAATCAAATATAGGAGCCCAAAAACAATAGTTTCAATTAAGCCTGTTTAAGTTGTGGGAAACATCTAATTGCCTTGGCACTAAGTTTGGGGTGGTTTATAAAGTACACGATTGTCCCTTTACTGAGACAGTGTCCTTTATCTGCTGTGTTTCAACAGTTCCTGCTTTTTTCAGAGAATCTCTCTAAGCTGGCTGGAATCACTGGGCTCTGTGCCCATCATCCCCCATCTCAGGATAGTCTTCAGCCCGTAGCTGCTTGGTGTAAAACATAATCTCATGTATCAAGCGGAACCACTGAACCAAGTCTGTGGGAAGGCTGTGACTTCAGACTGTTGCATACAATTAGGCTAAATCTAGAAGTTGAGGTCGTGAGATTGTGTCTTTGTTTAGCTCCTTCTGAGTCCCATGTCCCTCCTGGTCTTGCTTTCTCACACACTAGAACATGTGTTCCAGATGCTATGCCTGGGCATCAGATATAAAACAGATGCAAATAAAAGTTACTAATAAAGCCTGGAAGGAATTATTCCTACCTGTCTCTTATACTTTTCCTGATAGGAGACGAAGCATTAATATTTTGATATAGGTAAGGTTATTTAATACTTGTAGGATACTGGTATATTTTCCAGCACTCCCTAGGTGCTAGTCCGTTGTCCACTCTATTTTATTGAGACAGGGTCTATGTAGCCCAGGCTGTCTTTGAACTCACTATGAAGGCCAGTCTGACCTTGAACTTATTGCAATCTACCTGCTGATGTAGGAGGGTCTTCTATCTATCTGTTGCTTTCATTGGTTAATTAATAAAGAAAACTGCTTGGCCTGATAGGTCAGAACATAGGTAGGCAGGGAAGACAGAACAGGATTGTGGGAGAAAGAAAATCAGGCAGACACCATGGAATCAGCCACCAGGTCAGACAAGCTGAATCTTTCCCGCTAAGCCACCACCTCATGGTGCTACACAGATTATTAGAAATGGGTTAATCAAGATGTGAGAATTAGCCAATAAGAGGCTAGAACTAACGGGCCAGGCAGTGTTTAAATGAATACAGTTTCTGTGTAATTATTTCGAATAAAGCTAGCCGGGTAGCGGGAATGCAGTCCGCCACTTCATTTGCAACAACCTGCTCCAGCCTCCTGAGTACTAGGATCTATAGGCATGCATCATAGAAGCAAGCTGTCACATGCTTTTCTATATTTAATGATGATGCCGATTCATTGAGCATCTACTATGTGCCAGACACTGTTGGAAGTATGCTTCATATGTGATTGAATCATCACTACAGCCTTGCCAAGGGTAGACTATCATTGCAAATGATGCCACTGAGAGACTCATGATCAAAGGTGTGCAGGCAAGGTACGGAGCCAGAAGAGCCTCTATAGTACTTGACCAATGGGGTGCAGCTACAGCCAGCCACCAAAGTGCAGTGGGGTGCGCACCCAAATGCAGTGATCCAGGCCCATTATTCTCTGTCCCTTGGCCTGAGAGCCATCCTGCCGACCCACTACATGGCAACATCTTTCAGATAGTGGTTACAGTATGTTTGCTTTTTTCCTTCAGTGGCCTCCTCTCTTCTCTCTGCTTACCCAGAGCCTTTTATGACTCAAAGTAGCACTTACCTCTTCAAAAAGATAGAGGCATTCCCACATCAACTGCCAAGATGTGATGCCATCCCAGATGTCCACCGGTAGACAATTGGGTGTCACAAATGTTCACTTGTGTATCCTGGACTATTATATTACTCTACCCTAAAAAAAAAAAAGAGAGATCCCACAATGTATGAACACCCGGATGGACTGGATAAAGTAAACATGCCCTAAGCAATGCCCACATGATTCCATTTATCCAAGGTATCCGGTGGTCAAGTTCATGGAAACTATGAAGTGAATTGTGGTTGGCAAGGGGTTTCATTGCATAGCTAATGAACATGTGCGGCTTCAGTTACACAGGTGAATAAGCTCTAGAAATCTGCAGTTTGACATGCTGCCTATTGATCATAATAATTTTATACATAAAATACACTGTGAGGAGCAGGCAGGATGGACTCAGGGGTGTAAGTGCCTGTCCCATAAACCTGACGGTTGGAATTAGATTCCCCAGCATCCATGGTACAGGAAGAGAGGAGACTGCACCAAGTTGTCCTTTGAATTTCACGTGCCTCCCAGGGCACTCCATAATAAATAAGGTTAAACAATTCGAAACATGTTGGTCTACATCGCTGGGATAAACACTGTGGCCAGAAGCAGCTCTGGGGAGAAACGAGTTTGTTTCATCTTATACTTTACAGTCTATCTTCAAAGGAAGCCACGACAGGAACTTGCTGGTAAAAACTCAAGCAGACCACAGAGGAACACTCCTTACTGGCCTGTTGTCTGCTTTTTAACACAGCCTATGCCCGCCTGCCTGGGGGTGGCTTCACCCACAGTGACCTGGGTCCTCACTTCCATCAAGAAAATGTCCCACAGACAAGCCTACGGATCAATATGTGGGAAGCCATTCCTCCTGCGAGGCTCCATCTGGCCAGGTGACTCTAGCTTGTAGGAGGCCATCAAAGACTAACCATCACGTATGCTAAGAGTGGAGATCTCCTGGTATGCTCTTGCCACAGCAAAAACTTAAAACTGGTGAAAAACTCAAATCCTGTTCCCATGCAGGTGTCCCTGATTTCTGCTGCTCTCGTGGTCTGTGGTGAGTGCCGGCTGTGTTTACTGGTAGTACAACTCATTTCTGCCACCCCGCATTAACCACTGTTGCTAGTCCTGACTCTTCCCCAGTAAGCAGGGCATGTATTGGGGGCAGTCTGAATGACAAAGTAGTTGAGATCTAGATCTAGTTGGTTTTGTTGTTTGGTTTTGTTTTTTTTTCTTTAGACTCCACTCTTTCTAGCAAGTGCTGGGTTCATGGCAGAAGTAGTCACAGAACTGGGGACTGGGGACTGGGAAAACAGATCAATGGGAAAGAATATTTGCTGTGCAAGCGTGGAGGACCTGAGTTAGAATCCCAAGCATCCGTATAAAAAGTGGGGTGTGGTCTCATGCATGTCTATAACCTCAGTGCTGCAAGGGGAAATGTAAAAGGAAAGGCGGGCTGCGTTCCCACCACCTGGCTAGCTTTACCCGAAATAATTACATGGAAACTGTATTCTTTTAAACACTGCCTGGCCCATTAGTTTCAGCCTCTTATTGGCTAACTCTCACATATTGATTCAACCCATTTCTAATAATCTGTATATCACCACGAGGTGATGGCTTACCGGGAAAGACCCTAACCTGCGTCTGTCTCGGAGAGGAGAGTCATGGCGACTGCCTCACTGCCTTCTTCCTTCCAGCATTCTGTTCTGTTTACTCCACCTACCTAATTTTCTGTCCTATCAAAGGCCGAGGCAGTTTCTTTATTAACCAATGAAAGTAACACATAGACAGATGATCCTCCTCCATCAGGGAAAGGAATAGGTCCAGGGTTTGCTGGCTATCAGCCATGCTCTAGGCTCAGTGAGAGATCCTGTTAGTATCCTTGCACACCCGGCCCTGCCCCTTGGGGACCTGGAAGAGTGTATCACCCCTGCACGTGGCAGGTGCAAAAGTCCCCTTTAAGAGACAAGCTGCTCACACTCCTGCTCCGCCTTTCCTGCTCTTGTCCCCAGCAGTCTGTCTCTCCCCTCCCCTCCTCACTTTTCCATTTCCTGTCTCTTAATGAAACTTCCTACATAAGCTCTATCTGCCTGGCATGTTTGTCTCCTACCCTCCAAGGTCTGATCTTGCCATACCATAACAGTTGCTATCTCAAGAGACTTGACAAGTTGCCTTGCCAAGAGACAAGATAAAGAGCAATAGGGCAGGACACTGATGTCTTCCTATGGCTTCTGCACAGGCATGCATGGGCACATCCACACATGTATGCGCATGTCACACACATGTATGCATAAACTATGTGCAAAGCACACACTCATTAAAAATGCAGAACTGAATCTGAGACCGTCTACCATGGGGGACTGGTTAGGCTTTGTTTCTTCTCTGGGAAAAAGACAGCTCTGTCAAAAGGAAAAGTCCCGTGTGAAAACCTACATGGAATTAGCCCATCTTTTTCATTGTTGAGCTTGTTACAGGGTCCACCCTGTGCGTGCTGTCGCCACAATACTGCATGTGACCAAATGTCCTTGATTTGACCTTGTGGGAATATGTAAACCACGGGACTCAAGGAGGGATGTCTGTGGGAGGAAGGATCATGTGATGGGGAGCAAACTCTGTTTGCGTTTCCCTGACTGCTGGTGATTTCTGGGAAGTGGCAGGAGGTGACTGACTGCACAAAGAGCCCAGGCCCCACAAAGACAGGACTTCTAGGTGGGCAGGAAGTGGGGAGCCAGGGCTCTGACTGCTGGTTCCTGGGCTACGTTTGTCAGCACGAAACTGCTTCAGGCAGGAGCAGAAGACAAGCTAAGGGAATACCTATCAGGTTGCCTCCTTGTGCTGGGACACCAAATCCATATTTGGCTGTAAATAGAAGCTTGTTTTCAAATTGTATTAAGGAGCTGGTTGTGGTGGCTCAGGTCCATTATACTAGCACCTGGGAGACTGGGGAGCAAGAGTAGCGAGAGTTTGAGGTTAATCTAGGCTTCATAGTGAGTTCCAGGCTAGCCTGGACTTCAAGAGGGAAGACTATGTCTCAGAAAACAAACAAATAGTAATATATTGAATCAAACACATCTAGAAAAGCTGAGATGGGACAGAAATGATATAAAGACAGTGTAAAACTCTCAAGGAAAACAGAACCCAGCCCATGTAAATTAAAGAAAGACCAGAAGGAAGACAGAGATAGAGCTTGATGCGTGGATGGGCAGATGGAAGAATGGATAGACAGACAGACAGAAGTTAAGAGTGATGGCTCATGCCTGCTAACACTGGGAAGCTGAGGCAGGAGGATTGCCTTCAGTTTGAGGCCAGCCCAGGCTGAATGGCTTATGTCAGAGGAGCAAAGGCTTTATAGCAAAAATCTGTGTATAAAATCAAACCAAACTGAAATTAAATATTAATAATAATAAACTACATTGGGACGCTAGTTATTTAGAATACCACAGCATCACTCTCATAAACCCTCAGCTGATCCCCCTCAACTTCATATTTGCAAACACGCATGATGTATGTTGGTGATTATCCAAAGAAATGTACATTTGTATTTTAAAAGTCAAAAAAGAAAAAGAAATTGAAAGAACCTGAGGTCCAGTTCTCCTGGGATAGCCCTTAGGTTTTGGGAAAAGTCTAGCCTTGCTGACAATGAAGGGTGCCCCTCATGTTTAGGTCGGACCCCGAGGTTGTTGTGAGTGCGTGCGACTTTAACTCAGAAGACAAGACGGCTCCCCCGAGGCCGGGGTCAGGGTTGGAATGGGAGATATTTGGGGCACCCACAGCTGTAGGAAGTGCACGCTCTCTCTTAATTTTGTTTACTTAAGAAGAGAAAAAGAAACCCACATGTTTCTTTGAAGCCCTGTGGGACTGTTTGCTCTGAGATTCCACAGAGAAAGCCGGAGACTGTTGCCAGAATGTCCGGCCCACCATTTACTGTCCTTGGACTTAATGCCTGCTTCACACTTGGAATAAAGATTCATTCATTCCTGTGCCAAGAAATACAGAATCCTATTGTTTTCCTGCCCAAATTGTTCCAAGACCATCTCTTTCTTTCTCCTTTTCCCTTGCCCTGGGGATGTCAAGCCCAGATAAGCATCTCCATTGACCCCAGGATCTGATCTCCACAGGGACAGCATCTTTTCCTTGCCAGTGCCTGGACGGAACACCCTGCTGCTCAGAGCAGATCTGCTGCCCGCGCCCCTTTCGCGGGCACCCTTATTAAACTTTCTGGGTTGCCAAGCCAGATCTGCTGTAATTCCCCTTCCTGGAGACGGTTGTGTCATTTTAATAGGCAGGGTGATCGTGAGCTTTCGCTCTGTGGCAGCCAGCGGGTCCACAGCGGAGGATGAGCAAAGCTGTTCCACCCGCTATGACATGCTTCATCCCAGGACATGGCCTGCTTTAGCCTCAGAAGAAGGGCTGGCTTAATTAAGGTGAACTCAGAAGTGTGAAAAAATAACAGGGGAAGGGATTCCAAGGAAGCTGGTTATCTCTTCCAGTAAAACCACTCCCAGGGCTAGGGCCTGAAACTTCCTTTTGTTTTCCTTACAGAATGTTCTCAGTCACTTAGAGGATTGGTTTCCAACTGTGGAAATGGCCATGCTGGCTCTTTCATGCCCTCCCTCCGTTACCTCCCTGACTCCCCAGGACCTTACAAAGACCCACTGCTCTGCAGCTCCACAAGGATGCCACCCCAACCCCCCCCCCCCCCCAGTTTCTGACAGAGACAGCCTCTCTCCTCCTGGATGCCTCAGCCAACTACCGCCTCTAAGAACGGCCTTCAAGTTATTTAGTCTCTGTCCTTCCCTTTGTCTGCTGGCTCCAGTCCTCTTATTTAAACACAACACAACACAACACAACACAACAAAAGAACATCAGGAGAAAAAGAAAGAAAAGAGAAGAAAAAACCACCCTTTTCCCCCTTTGTTCCATTGGGCAACTGTCCCATGGCTTCTCTTCCTCACCTCCTACAATACCAAATCACCTACAAGCCTTTGCAGGACCCGATACCAGAATTCCTTCCCCTCCTGCTAAGAAGGCTTTTCCTGAGCGCTACCCTATCCCTCATCTCCAGTTACAGCTATTCCAGCACTGAGACCCATGGTAGAGTCTTCACTACTCTACCGTAGGGAATCAAGATCCTGCCTTTATTGTCCTGTCTCTACACGGCTTTGTTCTTTAATAGCTACCTACTTAGTTAGTATGTGTGTGAGTGTGTGTGCATGTGCACATGAGTGCATGCCATAGCATATGAGCAGAGGTCAGAGGTCAGCTTGTGTGAATCAGTTCTCTCTTCCCACCATGCGGGTCCTAGAGATGGAGTGCAGATCACCAGGATTGCTGGCACGCGTATTTCCTCCCCGAGGCAGCTTGCTGGCCTGGACCCCACTGCTTATTTTTGGTTCAGCATTCATTAGTGTGAGGACTGAATACAAATTTCTCTAAATGAAAGAACAGACTCGCCATTCTCAGTCTTCCAGATGCAACTTATAAAGCCAGACGGTTATAAGTCACATCTGGGCTCCCTGGGTTCCCCACCCTCATTCTATGCTAGGGATTGAACCCATGGCGTCTAACATGCTAGGCAGATGTTTTACCTATGATCCCTTAGATTGATAATAACTGAGGACTCAGATTTCCTCATACTGTGTCTTCTGTGTGCTGGGTAGTGTGAGAACATTTTGTCATGCCATCAGATATTAAAAAGACTCAATTTTTAGTAATGTTGAGATGGCTCAGTGGGCAAAAACATTGGCCACCAAGCCTAATGACCTGAGTTTGAGCCCCTGAACCCACAAGGTCGGAGAAAATTGCCTCCTTGGAGTTGGTCTCTGACTTCCACATATATGATGCAGCCTCTGTGCTCAATAAAATAAATAAGTGAAAGGAAAAAAAAATCTCGACTAAATAATCTTATTGTTTTTTACTCTTTTGAGTGGAAGCAATAGTTTGGAATTAGAAGACATCAGAGCTTTAGATTTATAAAGCACTCCAGATGGGTTTGCATCCAACTCTTCCGTAATAGTGATCTGATTAAGTTTATGGCTTATACTTTATCTTTTGCAAGCCTAGACCTTACTCTTGGGTAACCATGGGTGATAATATATCTTTTGGCACAACCTGGTAGGCTACTGGTTGAGTGGTGGAGGGGCTACTGTGGCACTGTTGCTGGACTGTTGGCCCTGTCTGGCCCTCCCTCCATGACTTTTCATTTGCTGCTTGTACCAGTTGTGGCACAGAAGGCTCCTTCTGCACGTGATTCCATTCAGTGACTTCTCCTCAGCAACTGGTCGCTGCTCAGGAATGGCTTGTGCTTCTGAGATGTCTGCGTGTGGCAAGGAGCAGGAGGTGTTAGTGACCCCTCGTGCTAGCCACTTCCTTCCACACTCACGGGTTTTTCTCGCCGTTTTGCCCTGAGGCCCTCGTCCTTCTAACCAGCAGGATAGAGACCAGGATGTGCCACACTCCCGCGTTTTTTCTTGCGAGGATCTTAGGGACTGGAACGGACTGTGTAGCCCAGGCTGGCCTCAAACTTCCCATGTTTTGATTACAGGTCATGCATTACCACCCCTGCCTCCGCCATGATTCCCAGCACCTCTCTCCCCCATGCTGATACCTGGAATTCAGCTGGAGGGTTTGCTTGAAGATGAACTCACCTGATCCCCTAACTGTACCTATGTCCACAGCACTGATGGGAAGGTGAAGAAATCTTTATCTTCACCATTTACAGGAAACCTTCATCTTCCGGGACTTTCTGGACGCTCTGCCGTTCACCGCCGGGGTAAGCCGTAGTGTGAAGTGTAAAGCACCAAGCAGGAATGGGTCACGTGACAACTGGCAGGAAGACGTGCTATTTTAAGGAAGGTGTGAGGTGTTGAGTTGGGAAAGCATCCAATTGGCTAGCATAGTGTTGTTCCATAGAAAGAAACTGAGCCACATAGACATTTTAAAATTTTCCAGAAGCAAAAATGTAAAAAATAAACAAGTGAATTACCTTAATAATATGGTTTATTTAGCCTAAGTGATTCAAAATAGCATCGTTCATCACATAATCAATCCAAAATATTTATGACTTTTGAATTTTTTAGTGATAAAATTTTTGAAATACGGCATTATTTTGCACACTGAATTAGTTATATTGTCAGTATTTAGTAGCCACTTGTAGGTAATAGCCACCATGATGTATAGTGTGGCGTCTCTGAACCTCCTGGTATAAAACACCCCAAAAGTTGTTAAATCCCACAGGGCTCAGAGGTCTTCAAACCTCTATAGCGTGTCTAAATTAGGTATTCATTCTATCCATGGATGGTCATAGCTGCTAACCCAAAGACTGAAGCAGGAAAGTTATGATAAATTTCAGGCAACTGTGAGACAAAATGAGGAGAGGAAGAGAAGAGGAGAGAGAGAGAGAGAGAGAGAGAGAGAGAGAGAGAGAGAGAGAGAGGCTTAAGAAGGAGACAAAAATGACAAGCTCTTGAGTGTGTGCAGACTTCTTGAGATCTGCATGTAGGTGTCTTAATAATTGGTGGCTTTTGGAATTTCATTGCTCAAAGGATTTAAAAGATTAGGTTACTCTGATGTAGTTACCTGAAGAACTTTTCTAGTAAATGAGGTGATCACATAGCTTGAGGTACTCTTTACGGGTTCACAGGATCAAAAGAAAAGAAAAGAAAAGACAAAAGAAAGGTCAAAGCAATCCTTGTTGTCTCTGGGTGGCAAAGAGGGCAAGGCAAATTTTTACTGTGAACCTGGATCCTGGTCTATGTCACTGTCTGCACTCTCAGCCAGCAGGTACCAGGGAGTGCTTTCCTTCCCATGGCCCCTTAATGGGCTTGCCTTTTTAAAAAATAGATTTATTTTTATTTTGTGTGGGTGAGTACTTTGCCTGTATGTATACATGTGCACCATGTGTGTGCACTGTCTGAGAAGAGGCTGTAGGATGCACTGGAACTGGAATCACAGAAGCTTGTGAGCTGCTGCGTAGGTGCTCAGGACAGAGTCTGGATCCCCTGTAAGTGCTGCAAGTGCTCTTAACCAGTGAGTCATCTTGTCAGCCCTACCCTGACTTCTTATCTTTCTCAGTTTCCTCAGAAACCTTGATCCTGTAATCTTAAAGATTAATGACAACCGGTTTCATTTTCCAAACTTCTTCATACTGAACAGAAGGGTAGACCCTACCTGGTCAAGGACTGAGAGTCTCCACCTGTCTGATCTAAGGGGATTCAGTGAACTGTGAGCTCAGTGACCACAGGGTCACCTTTTTATGGGAATTGTCATTACCCTGAAGGTCATGACACAGAAACTATAAAACACACAGCATATTTCCATTTCTGACCCCAAGATGAGCACCCCACACGGAAGGGGGTTTCTCTATCCCTCGCTTTGTCTATGTAAACCACAGTACTAGTAAATCATCAGAACCCAAGGCAGTGCTGGCTGCGGTGGTTCTAGAGGCTTCAGCACAAGATTCTCTCACGCCTAGCCTGGGCTACAGAGTGAGTCTCAGGCTAGCCAGAGATACTGTTCAAAAACCATTCTCAATAAAACCAACCAACCACAGAAACACACTTAAAAATCCAAACAAACAAAGGCAAACTTAAGGGAAATCTGACACAGGTTTCCACTCCACTTTGACAGCGGCATGGCTTCCTCTCTCTACTCTCAGAATGCCGAGGGCTGTATGCTTCTGCGGATTGGCTGAGGTCATCCTCTTCATGCCTGTGTTGAAGAGCAAGACCCTTTAGCTGTAATGACAAAGCACATGCTGATGGTTAAATAGTGCAGCTATGACAGAACACCAGGAAGGAATAGACTAAAAGAGAAATGGGTTACAACCACAGTCACAGAAAGAAATCAAAGAAGACATGAGAAAATGGAAAGATCTCCAATGCTCTTTGATAGGTAAGATCAACATACTAAAAATGGCAATCTTACCAAAATCATCTACAGATTCAATGCAATCCCCATCAAAATCCCATCACAATTATTCACAGACCTCAAAAGAACAATACTCAACTTCATATGGAAAATAAAAAAATCCAGGATAGTCAAAATAATCCTGTACAAGAAAGGAACCTTTGGCGGCATCAGCATCCCTGACTTCAAGCTCTACTATAGAGCTATAGTAATAAAAAAAAGCTTGGTACTTGCATAAAAACAGACGCATGGATCAATGGAATTGAATCAAAGACTCTGACGTTAATCCACACACACCTATGAACACCCGATTTTTGACAAAGAAGTCAAAATTGTACAATGGAATAAAGAGAGCATCTTAAACAAGCGGTGCTGGCATAACTAGAGGTCAACATGTAGGAGAATGCAAATAGATCCAAATCTATCACCATGCACAAAACTCAAGTCCTAATGGATTAAAGATCTCAATATCAATCTGAGCACACTGAACCTGATAGAAGAGAGAGTGGGAAATAGTCTACAACATATGGACACAGGAGACCACTTCCTACGTATAACCCCTGTAGTACAGACAATAAGGGCAACATCGAATAAATGGGACCTCCTAAATCGGAGAAGCTTCTGTAAAGCAAAGGACACTGTCATTAAGACAAAAGGGCAACCTACTGATTGAGAGAAGATCTTCACCAACCCTGCAACAGACAAAGGTCTGATCTCCAAAATATATACAGAACTCAAAAAACTAGACATCAAAATACCAAATAATGTAATTTAAAAATGGGGTGAAGATTTAAACAGAAAAGTCTCAACAGAAGAATCTCAAATGGCTGAAATACACTTAAGGAATTGTTCGATATCCTTAGTCATCAGGGAAATGCAAATCAAAGCAACTCTGAGATACCATCTTACACCTGTCAAAATGACTAAGATTAAAAACATTGGGGACAGCTTATGTGGAGTAAGGGGAACACTCCTGCATTGCTGGTGGGAGTGCAAACTTGTACAGCCACTTTGGAAATCAGTATGGCAGTGTCTCAGAAAATTGGGAATCAACCTACCACAAGACCCAGCAATGCCACTCTTGGGTATATACCCAAAGGATGCTCACTCACACCACAAGGACATTTGTTCAACTATATTTATAGCAGCATTATTCATAATAGCCAGAAATTGGAAACAACCTAGATGTTTCTCAACCAAAGAATGGACAGAAAATGGAGTATTGCTCAGTGGTAAAAAGCAGTGACATCTTGAAATTTGCAGGCAAATGGAGGGAACTAGAAAAAACATCCTGAGTGAGATAACCCAGACCCAGAAAGACAAACATGGTATGTATATGCACTCACTCATCAGTGGATATTAAATGTAAAGAAAAGGATAAGCAGGCTACAATCCAGAACCCTGAGAAGCTAGGGGGACCCTAAGAAGCTTAAGAGGACCCCAAGAAAGACACGCATGGATGCTCCTGGGAAGCATAAGACATATCATAAACAGATAAGATCTCCTGAGTAATTGTGAGTGTGTGGGGTCGGGGAGAAGGGAGGGTGGAAGGAGAGGCAAAGGGGAGAACAGGGGGAGGAGACCATGAGGGAAGGAGATGGTTGAACTTGGGGAGGGAGAGAGAAGGGGAGCAAGAAAAGAGATATCTTAATAGAGGGATCCATTATGTGCTTAGGAAGAAATGCGGTGCTATGGAAATTCCCAGGAATTCACAAGGAAGACCCCAGCTAAGACTCCAAGCAATAGTGGAAAGGGTACCTGAACTGGCCTTCCCCTGTAATCAGGTTGATGACTGCCCTAATTGTCATCATAGAACCTTCATCCAGTAACTGATGGAAGCAGATGCAGAGATCCACAGCTAAGCACTGGAACTAACTCTTGGAGTCCAGTCGAATAGCGGGAGGAGGGATTATATGAACAAAGGGATCAAGGTCATGATGGGGAAACCCAAAAAGACAGCTGACTCAAGCTAGTGCGAGCTCACTGACTCTGGACTAACAGTGGGGGAACCTGCATAGGATCGAACTAGACCCTCAGAATGTGAGTGACAGTTGTGTGGCTTGGGAAGTCTCTGGGTCCTCTGGCAATGGAACCGGGATTTATCCGTAGTGCCTGAAGTGGCCTTTTGGAGCCTATTCCCTAGGGAAGGATATCTTGCTCAGCCTCAAAACAAGGGGAAAGGGCTTGGTCCTGTCTCAACTTGATATGCCATGATGTGGGATTCCCCTCTGCATGCTGTGTACACTGTGAATATCTTTTATTGCCATTGGTTAATAAATAATCTGTTTTGGGCCTATGGCAGAGCAGAATAAAGTCAGGCAAGAAATCTGAACAGAACTATAGAGAAAGTAGGCGGAAAGACGCCATATAGCAGCTGAAGGAGAAAGACACCTACTGTTAGTTCACAGCATTGTGGTGATACATAGATTAATAGAAGTGAGTTAATTTGAGATATAAGAGTTAGCCAGGAATATGTCTAAGTCATTGGCCAAGGAGTGTTGTAATTAATGTAGTTTCAGTGTGATTATTTCGGGTCTGGGTAGCCGGAAAATGGATGAGTGGCTCTCACTACAATGCCAGACTTTGTTGACTCCCCATGGAAAGCCTTACCCTTTCTGAGGAGTAGATGGGGGTTGGTTGGGGGGACAGTGAGGGGGAGGAGAGTGGGAGGTGTGGAGGGAGGGGGAATTGTAGTTGGTATGCAAAATAAATTTTAAAAAAAATGTTGAGATTGTCCAGTATCATCCTTCCAAGTAGCTGGCATGACAAGTCTGAACCACCAGGTTCCAGCTAAAGTTCTTTGTCTTGAGATACTGGGAATTGAAACAATGGCCATGAACAACCCAGGCAAGTACTCTCTACCACTGACCTATATCCCCCCCCTCTGTCCCCCTCCC